TTTTGGTTTGTTTTTAAAATATCTTTAACATAGGCTCTTCAAGGGAAAGAAAGGAAGAAGTGCTGGGGAATAATATTGGCCAAATTATATTTAGTGCTTGTATGAATATGTAACAACAAATCCCACCATCATGTATAACTATAGTGCACCAATAAAAAATAAAATATGCCCTCCAACAGAAAATCTAGTATACAAAATGAAAATTAAGGTAAAATGTTCTGTACTTTATAGGAGGGCTTTCATATGGGCTGTTTAAACAGAAACTCTCTGCTTATATAAGTGTATATATAGATCAGTATTTGGCTGGCAGACTTAAAGCTGGTGTGTCTGTTTCACTGCCTGCTGCTGGCCAAGGACCTGAAGATAAGTTAATTTTTCAGCATTGTCTGAAGTTACACAGGCCCCATTGCTGTACTTGCCACTTTAAAAGTATATTATTTGAGGGCTGGGGTTGTGGCTCAGTGGCAGAGTACTTACCTACCATGTGTGAGGCACTGGGTTTGATCCTCAGCACCACATAAATGAATGAATGAATGAATGAATGAATGAATGAATGAATGAATGTGTTGTATCCATCTACAACTAAAAAAAATTTTTTTAAAGAGTACTACTTATGAAGAAAAAAATACATATGCAGTTATTTCTACTTTATTTTACTCCTCAAACTAATAGTCTATAAAATATTCTCCAAAAATATATTGTAATTTAGAGACTTATGTTTCTTGAATAGTTTGCCCTTAAAAATAATTTTTAATAACCCAATCAATAAATAGGCAAAGGAACAGAACAGACACTTCCACAGAAGAGATACGAATGGTCAAAATATATACGAAAAATGTTCAGCATCACTAGAAATTAGAGACATGCAAACTAAAAGTGTACTGAGATTTCATCTCACTCCAGTCAGAATGGCTATTATCAAGAATATAAGTAACAATAAATGTTGGTGAGGATGTGGGGAGAAAAGTACCCTCATACATTGCCAGTGGGACTGCAAATTGGTGTAGCCACCATGGAAAGCAGTATGTAGATTCCTTAGAAAACTTGAAATGAAACCACCATTTGACCCAGCTATCCTATTCCTTGGTCTATACCCACAGGACTTAAAATCAGCATACTACAGTGATACAGTCACATCCATGTTTGTCCTTCAATGGATGAATGGATAAAGAAAATGTGGCATGTATGTATGTGTATATATATACACATACACACACACACACACACACATACATACAGTAGAATATTACTCAGCCATAAAGAAGAATTAAATTATGGCATTTGCCAGTAAATAGATAGAACTGGAGAATATCATGCTAAGTGAAATAAGCCAGTCCCCAAAAACTAAAGTCCAAATGTTCTCTCTGATTTGTGGATGCTAACCCAAAACAAGGGAGGTTGGGGAGGGGAATAATAAGAAATAGATTGGTCTAGACAAAGGGTAATGAAGGGAAGGAAGGGAAGGGGAGGTGAATAGGAAAAGACAATAGAATTAATTGGAGATAACTTTCCTAGCCTTGTATTTTATACACAACCAGGGTAACTCCTTACAAGAGTGGGAACCTAATAGAACAAGTTATACTTTATGTATGTATATTCTGCCAAAATACATTCTACTGTCATGTATAACTAAAAATAAAAATTAATAATAATTTTAAGTGTCTATCAGTTTCAAAGGATAGGCATCCTGAATTTTAACTTTTTTTTTTTTAATGTTGCAATTGCATAGTAGAATAAAGGGAGAAGGTTCACGCTTATTATTTTTGTTTTGGAGGTACTAGTGAACCCAGGGTCTCAAGTGTGCTAGGAAGTGCTGTACTACAGAGCTACACCCCCAGCCCAGGATGGACTTTTTAGTATCTTTAAATATAGTCCAGCTTGGCTGTGGCAAAGTAGCTTCCAACCAGCAACAATGACTGAGAAAAGTTTTTTCCTACATTTAGTGAAGGAAGAATGAGCTTATACTATTAATTGACTGGTTACTGAATGAGATAACCCATTGAGTTTTGTATGTATGGATAATGAAAGATTTTAATAGAATGTAAGGGATTGTCTATACATGGGACACATTTCTGTTTTTGATGAGCAAGCACGAAGTACCTGTTAGGAAATAATATGACATTTTCTAAGCAATTCAGGAGTCTAAGACAAGAGTTTGAGGCCAGCCTCAGCAAATAAGCAAGGCCCTAAGCAACTTAATGAGACTCTGTCTCAAAGAATAAAAAGGTCTGGGAATGTAGCTCACATTCCCAGAGTCCCTGGGTTCAATCTGCAATACCAGGGGGTGGGGTGGGGACAGAAAAGAAAATAATAGGACAGTTTTTCTTCTCTTTAATCTTCTTAAAAGCTAGGTCTTTATATCCTGCTATGGTTAAGAGAACCTGCCCAAAAAGTATTTGTTGAATGAGGGGATAGACTTGATATTCTCTGCAGGAAACAGACCCATGACGTTATGTGATATCCTCAGTGTGTCTGCTGCTATTGGGAGTACAAAGGAGGGCGCTTAACCAAACTTAGGAGTCAAAGAAAGAAAGCTTCCTAGAGACCTGAAGGATAAGCTTGGGTTTTCTCAAGTGAGGGGAAGGGAAGAATATTCTAAAGAGAAGTGACACCCTATGTGAAGATTTAGAGTTGGGAGTGAGTGATGCTTCTCTGCTGCACTGGAAGAAGTTGCTGGAAACTAGATGTCTAGAGCTTAACATTGCAGGTGGGGGGCTGGATATGATAGAGGTGGGCAGGAGAGGTAAAGGGGACTTTGTAAGAAGTGTTGACTTTTATGTCTTGTCTTTTACTTGCAAGAGCCGTGGGAAGACCCTAAAGGATTTTTCTCACATCTTATGAAAATTCCAAACATAGAAAGTAGAAGGAATTTTATAATTAATCTTCATGAATCCCAACTTAGATTCTGCCATTAACATTTAACTACATTTGCTTTATCAGAGGTGTCCTAACTGATTTATTTCAAAATATGTTGTAAATATCAGGAGGTTTCCCTCTAAATACTTGTGCATACATATCATTAACCAGAATTCCTGAACAATCTTAAGAGAGAATGGCCTGATAAGATTGCTTTGGGAAGACCGCTTACCTGTAGGACAGGAAATGAAGTGTGGCATACACTTAATGCTTATTTGTTTTTGTTTGGTTTGTTTCTGGTTTGGGTACTGGGGATTGAACCTGGGGCCTCACACATGTCAGGCAAGCAGTCTACCACTGAACTTATACTTCTAGCTCTCCCTACTTCCTCTTTTTGAGACACAGTTTTGCTAAGTTGCCCAGCCAGGCCTCAAACTTGAAATCCTGCCTTAGCCTCCTGAGTAGATGGGATTACAGGTGTGCACCACTGTGCCAGGCTAATGCTTATTTTTGAGTGATATATTTACAGAGTGAGAAGACAACTGGGAGGTGGCCAGGAGTTAATAAGCTTTTTGCTTAAAGACAACAAAGAAGACAGATAATATCATTGAAAGCTGTATATATCTTTGCAGATATTTCAGATAAAAAAACCCCCAAGATTTTGAAGAATCTTTTTGTCTTCATTGGTCTTTTCGATTTTTCATGAAATAGTTCTATTCTTAGGTGTACACATTTGCCATCAAGACAATCATGTCAGAGTGCATTTAGGTATAAAGTGAAAGTCGTAAAAAAAAGTCAATATAATTGAGGCATAAGACTTATGAAAAGAAGAAATGGGCTTAAAATATCTGTAAAATATGAGTGTAGATTTCATCTAATTTCCAGGTATTATTAGAGTTGATAGATGAGAGATGAGAGAAAAATAGTTCTTAAAAATTTTGCTCTCATATTTTGTTTCACTAAAGCAAAGTGCTTCTTCAAACATTTTGAGAAACTTTCTCTTTGCCAAGCACTGGTTAGGTTGTTAGAAAATTCTTGGGATTAGGGAGTCAAGAGAATTGCATTCCCAAGGAAGTTGACTTGGCTTTGGGGAGGCTTGAATTCTTACCATTCTATCAATCTTTTCCTCATCTATAAGAAGATCAGATTTTGCTCAAGTCTCTGATAACCCCAGATGCTATGTTTATGAAATCTTTATTCTCAATGTGATCACTTCTGATTTTTTTAACAGAAATGAAGAATTTTGAAATCATAAGGTGGGGAAAAAGTCTCAAACTAATGTTTAACATATTACATTTATTTGACCACATATTCTTTTATTTTTCAAATTTTATTTTGTAAAGTTTATTTTTAAAAAAGAATTTATAAGGTGCTGAATGCTAAGTATAACTGTCATCATTTAAAATTCCAGAAGAGAGAATCTCAGAATGGTATTTTCAGAGAGAATCAAGAAAAAAGGAATATCCACCTATCACTTAGTTATTGCTGGCTTGTACTGACACACTACCTGACAACTGAGTAGGCTGAAGCAGAAGGATCATAAGTTCCAGGACAGCCTCGATGGTCTAAGGAAACCCTGTCTCAAAATTAAAAGGGCCAGGCATGGTGGCACATGCTGTAATCTCAGCAGTTTGGGAGGCTGAAGAGGAGGATTGTGATTTTAAAGGTAGCCTCAGAAACTTAGTGAGACATTTAGCAACAACTCAGTGAGACCCTGTCTCTAAATAAAATATAAAAAAGGCTAGATATAGTTCAGTGGTTAAGAACCCCAGGGTTCAATCTTCAGTACAGAAAAAGTAAAATAAAATAAAAATAAAAAGGCTGGGGGTGTAGCTCAGTAGTAGAATACTTGCCTAGCATGTGAAGCTGTGGTGTTCTATATTGTCTCCCCATCCCCTGAAAAATTACTTACAGAAGATGTCATTTGTTACAGGATATAACAAGACTTAACAAGAGCAGCAGCAATACTGGGAGAGAGAATCCTGGTGGTGATGGAGTTTGTATCTTTGATTCTGTAGCTACCCAGTTTTCTTCTATCAGATTACCTTTTTGGTTGAAGCTAGTTCCAGCTGGGCTTTTCACATGGCACTAGAAAGCGTCTTTAAATAATCCATGTCTTTTTTTTTTTTTTAATATGTATTTAGGTGAAGATGGAGCTGGAAAAACAAGCTTAATAAGAAAAATTCAGGGAATAGAGGAGTACAAGAAAGGAAGAGGATTGGAATATTTGTACTTAAATGTACATGATGAAGACAGGGATGGTGAGTGAATTTATTTATTTTTAAATTTTTTTTAGTTATTGATATACCTTTATTTATATGTGGTGCTGAGAATCAAACCCAGTGCCTCACACATGCCAGGCAAGGGCACTACTGCTGAACTACAGCCCCAGCCCAATTTATTTCTTAATATACGTTTACTGAAGTCTGTTCTGAGGCATTTTGTTGCTCACCCTAGCCCTTGACCTTTCTTAGTGTATCATTTTTTACTAGACTCTGATATCATGCGGGACAGTTAAGTACTTATGTTTATGTATACCTTATTGATCTGGGATTGGGGTTCACATAGTGATATTTTAAAGCCTCTTAGGGTATTATGGGGGTCATGTAATGATATTTTTAAATAGCTTAGGGTTTTCTGATATATAGATGTTAGCCTTCTGGCTGTCCATGAAGAATTTTAATTTCTCAGTTTATCTTCCCTCAGGTAGTGATAGTTTTGCTGATTCCCTTTTCACTTTTCCCCATTTTCTAATAATAACATAATCTATTCTAGATTTTTTTCATCTGGTCAATCTTTTTTTTCTTATATCAATCATTAGCCTTCTCATTTTTGTATATGATATCTTTAGTAGTCATGGCTTTATCTGCGCTTAGTAAAAATATTAACATGTTGGGCTGGTTATATTGCTCACCAGCCCACATGGTAGAGCCTTTTGCTGAGTGTGAGATCCTGGGTTCAGTCCCCAGCACCACATATGTATATACATACATAAATAAAACACATTATGTACTCTCTTGGCTTTGGGTTAAGATTCATGAAGTAAAGGTTGCTTTGGTGCTCTGGTGGGCCATTAAATCATTTTAGGCCTTTACTAAATTTGTAGATGTGACTTAAATATTTTGTTGAACTTTATCAAAGCTAGTTGATATCTCCTGTGGAGATGCCCTAAAATATAAGTAGTATTGTTAGTTGGATGAAGTGATTTAATACTGTTGCCTTGGTAACTTTCTTTTGTCTGTTATAGATCAAACAAGATGTAATGTATGGATCTTAGATGGAGACCTTTATCACAAAGGGCTCCTTAAATTTTCATTGGATGCCATGTCTCTGAAGGACACTCTAGTTATGTTTGTCGTTGATATGTCAAAGCCTTGGACTGCTTTGGATTCTTTACAGAAGTGGGCAAGTGTTGTTAGAGAACATGTTGACAAATTGAAAATCCCTCCTGAAGAGATGAAAGAAATGGAACAAAAGCGTGAGTAATCTAGAAATATAGGTTTCATATACCAAATATATTAATTAAAATGTTATATTATGAATGAGGTTTAATGAAGGAAACAAAATTGACTACTGTTTTTGAAATTTAATTTGGGTGACATGCTAAGTTTTAATATAGTTTTAAATTGGAGACATACATGATGGTAAACTTTGACTAAGGTGCCTTTTCTTCTTGCCAAAAGATTGTGAGTGTTCACTTTGAGAAGTAATTTTTTAGGGGGAGAAATAGGAATCTTTCTTCAGCTGCTCATTTCCAGAAGTTTTATTTCTTGATAGTAATCTCACCAACTTTGTTCAAATGAAATATGCTTGAAAAGATGTTAATGACATAAATAAAAAGATGTTAAGATGATTGAATTATTTATAAAGTACATAATACATTTTGCACATGCTCTTATGAATTGGAAATTTTCATAGAGATTATGAAAATGAAACAGGATTATTTCTAACAGGTTGTAAACCTGAGAGTTCTTCAATTGCCAGTGTTGAACTTTGCCTAAGGAAATATGTAGATGTAGATGAAATTGTTTATTACCATTAGCCAGTGATAACTTTTAGGGGTAAATTTAAATGTAAGGAAAGAAACTTAAAGGAAATTTTTGTCAAGTCATTGAAAAGGATGTCTAATGCTTTTAATCTGTACTTTTTCTCCCCTGTTGACCTTGGCCTATAGCATTGCCACCCCACCCCCACCCCTGAATCTAATTTATACTAGAGCAGTAATGCTTAGCCTGTGGTCCCTGAACCAACAGCATCAATATCAGTATAGCTGGGAACCTGAAAAAAAATTTCACCTCAGAGTACTTAACGAGAAACTCTTGAAGGTGGATCCAGTGATCTGTGATTTAACAAGCTCTTTGGGTGATTCTAGTACATGATAAAATTTGAGAGTAACTGTTAGATTTCAACCTCTGATCTTTATTAAAGATATTAGCCACAAGAGCTGCTAGTGGTATGTAACATGACCCTGGGTTCCTGGGGACTCCTACTCAGCTATTCAGGATTCCCTATTCCTTAATCTCATGTAATTTCAGAAGTTTTCCTCCATAGGAGTCAATATTCATAATCCATAGTTAAGTAACTAGCTCATAGTTGCTTAAAAAAGTAACTTTTTCTCTAATTATGTAAGTAATATACTTACCTGTATTAAATTTCACAAAATATGCCTTAGTATATTTTTTCTGATATTCTTTTTATTTCTAAGCTGAAGTTTTTGATTTTCTTCATTATCTCTCTCTTAATGTTATTTTCTTACAGCATTAAGTATTTAGAAACTTGACATTTTATGGGTCTGCACAGTATTTCCTCACATTCTGTTTTTAATTTTATGTAGTGGATAAATTTCTTTCCAGATATGTTGTTTTGCTTTTAAACATGAAAAACAATGTTAAATGGAAATTCCTGTGTTTCTACTTCCCTGATTGTGTCCTTGAGAATTCCTAGAAAGGTAATTACTGAGTCAAGCATACATTATTAAGACTTTCAACATATTCACTTTGTTTTTTTAATTTACTTTTTTTTTAAATGATAATTTTGACAGTCTTGCAAATGATTTCAAAAAGTTTATCTACATTGGTAATAGCTCATTAATTTTTATTAGGTTTAAAGAATGAACTTGGTACAAGATTGAGCTTATGTAAAAGGAAACCTGAATAAAGGGCTTAGAAAAAGAAAAAAAGAGGGGCTGGGGATGTGGCTCAAGCGGTAGCGCGCTTGCCTGGCATGCGTGCGGCCTGGGTTCAATCCTCAGCACCACATACAAACAAAGATGTTGTGTCCGCCGATTATCTAGCAGCTGGGCACTCATACCTGTAATCCCAGCCTCTGGAGGCTGAGACAGGAGGATCTAGAGTCCAAAGCCAGCCTCAGCAACAGCAAGGTGCTAAGCAATTCATTGACATACTGTCTCTAAATAAAACACAAGATAGGGCTGGAGATGTAGCTCAGTGGCCAAGTGCCCCTGAGTTCAATTCCTGCTACCACAAAAAGAAAAGTTATCTAGCAATGTGGGTTTTTTTTAATTTAAATTTTTATTTTATTGCAATACCAGGGATTGAATCCAGGGTGCTCTATTACTGAGCTACATCTCCAGTCCTTTTCATTTTTTATTTTGAGACACGGTCTCACTGTTACCAAGGCTGGACTTGAACTTGTGATCCTCTTGCCTCAGCCTCAAGTTGCTTGGATTACAGATGTGCATCACTGTTCAACTAATACTGTGTTTTAAATTGTAGGATGTTTTTTCTCCCACATTTATTTATTTTTTATTCTGTAGTACTCATCCTTTCAGAGAAGGTAAAGAGTCAAAGGTATAGTATAACTTGTCCAAAGTCTTTTTTCAGACTGTATCAGACCTACATAGAGCTCTACTCTTTGAATTATCAGTGCAGTATTGTGGCTCAAAATTATTACTGTGGTTCCAGTGCCTGCATACTCTTCTATGAAACATTTTTTTTTTAAATTTTGATACTGAGGATTAAATCCAGAGGCACTTCGCCAGATGAAGGTGCAGAGTCATGAACTATACCCCTAGGCTTTTTTATTTTTATTTCTTTGAAACAGGGTATTGCTGAGTTCCCCAGGCTGGCCTTGAACTTGCAATCCTTCTGCCTTAGCCCCCTAGTCTCTAAGATTACAGGCATGCGCCACCATGCTGGGCCCAGAATAGATTTCTCAAACAATTTTTTGTTTTTTCTCTTACAAAAAATTAAGTATATTGGGCTGGGGATGTCGCTCAAGGGGTAGCGCGCTCGCCTGGCATGCGTGTGGCCCGGGTTCGATCCTCAGCACCACATACAAAGATATTTGTCCGCCAAAAACTAAAAAATAAATATTAAAAAATTCTCTCTCTCTCCCTCTCTCTCTCTCTCTCACTCTTTTTTTAAAAAAAAAATTAAGTATAAACTTGAGTAAACTATATATTTAAACTAAGGCAGAAATAACTATGTTTACTTTTATTTTCAGTGATTAGAGACTTCCAAGAATATGTAGAGCCAGGAGAAGACTTTCCAGCCTCTCCTCAGAGAAGAAACACCGCATTGCAGGAAGACAAAGACGACAGTGTAGTTTTACCTCTGGGTGCAGATACACTTACACATAACTTGGGCATTCCAGTCCTTGTAGTTTGCACAAAGGTTAGTTTGCTTCTTAACAGATTTTACTACTGATACTCACCAAGCAATGAACAACTACTTTGTTTTCCATGTTGTTTTGGAGTTGCATTAGTTTTATCACATAGAAATAATAGTTTTAAAATATTTGATGGTGCTTAAATGTTTGTTAATTTGTGACTTTAAAAAAACAATTATTTCATTGTTTTCCTAGACATTTCACTTGTAAAAATGTTGCCCTAGAGTTAAGTTGCTTGTGTCTATAGAAGATGAGGTGTAGCTTTCAGGGCCATCGCAAAAGGTGGGCAGAGGTAAAAGTAAATCTTTCAGTTCTAATCCCCACACACCAGAAAATTCTGGTGTAGCAGATGACAGTGTGAAGGGAAGGAAGGTACAGAGTCATTATGCTGCTTCCGTGTTATGCATTTTTCCTTTTCTTGGCTACAGCTTCTGTGATCATGATCATAATTGTTTTAAAGTGTTACTTAAGATACTTAGTGATTGAATTTCATTTTTATAATTTCAATTAAACTTCATTTTACAGTCAGTATAGTATACATAATTACAGGTGAAACGATAGTTTATTAATTTTGTAAAATTTTTTTAAACATTACATTTTGATATATTAATATACTTAAAATGGACTTATAAACATCTTGAAGCACCTATTATGATATAAAGTTGGTAGGCAATTATCTAGGGTTTCTTACTTATTAAAAAAAAGGTGATTGGGGCTGGGATTGTGGTTCAGTGGTAGAGCGCTCGCCCAGCACATGTGAGGCCCTGGGTTTGATCCTCAGCACCACATAAAAATAAAATAAAGATATTTTGATCATCTTCAACTAAAAAATTAATATTAAAAAGGTGATGATAGAGCCAGGCACAGTAGCACATGCCTATAATCCCAGTGACTCAGTGGTCTGTTTTTGTATTGTTTAGCAAACAAGCTATTTGTTGGCACGTTTCCCTGTTTTATGCCTCAACTTTTCTCATAAAAAGCAGTCTTATTTTCCAAAGAAAAATGTTAACTTTAAAGGTCCTGAATCATTATCAAAAGAGCCATAGAATGATTCATAAAATTTTCATGCCTGAAGATAGCATCTACTGTGTTTTATAAAATCTTCAAACACCATTAGATATACTTAAGTTTATGAGCTTTTAAATGTGTAAGGGGACCAGAGAATGTATGTGGAAGTGTTTTGGTTCAGCTTCTTCCATTTAAAAGACTGGAAATGGATATTCAGGGAGACTACGTTTCTTGTTTTAAGTCCACATGCTCTGATTCAGTTAACTTTTTGTTTTTGTTGAACTCGGGGCCTCATGCATGCTAAAGAAGTGTTCTACAACTGCTACAGTTAAAGTCTCTTTATTAAACTGCCATGTTTCAGCAAAAGTGTCATTAAGTCAACAGATTAAAGTATCTTTAATTATTTGAAATCACTCTCAATAGCCTAACAAGTGCTAGTCAATTAGACAAGGAGCCGAGTGTTTTGGTAGACACCTGTAATCACAGCAACCTGGGACAGTAAGGCAGGAGGATTGCAAGTTTGAAGCCATTTTTGGTAACTTAGCAAAACCCAGTCTCAAAATTAAAAATAAAAAGAGCTGGGAGGGATATAGCTTAGAGGTAGAGTAACCTGGGTTCAAACCCAAGTATCTTTTAAAAAAAAAAAAAAAACCTGATGCAAGAAGATTCTGTCCTATAATGTTTATATGTATAGCAA